TAGTCGCTGTTACTGAGACATGGTACAATGAGAAAAATGACTGGGACATAGCAATACCAGGGTACTCTTTATATAGGAAAGATAGGGAAGGCAAGAAAGGGGGAGGGGTGGCCTTGTATGTGAAGGATAGCATAAAATCTAGCCTAATAAAAGTTAGTGAGGCAAACATAGAGTCCGTTTGGGCTACGTTAGAATTTGGTAATCACACAGTAACTCGTGTAGGTGTGATTTATAGGCCCCCAGGACAAATTGAAGAGTTAGATAATCTACTAGTTGAGGAAATAGCTAAAATGACAATGAAGGGGGAAGTTATCATCATGGGTGACTTTAATCTTCCTGATGTAAATTGGAAAACAAAATTAGCTACTTGTGCCAGGAGCACACATATTCTAAACTCCCTACTGGGATTGTCTCTAAAACAAGTTGTTGAGGAGCCAACTCGTAAAGAGGCCATACTAGATTTAGTGTTAACAAATGGAGATTTGGTATCAGATGTTACTGTAGGTGAAAGTTTAGGATCCAGTGATCATCAGTCAGTGTGGTTTAATATAAGAACAGTGACTGAGTCACACCACACAAAAACAAAAGTTTTAGACTTTAGAAAAACAGACTTTTCTAAAATTAGAATATGGGTAGAGGAGTCATTATCAGACTGGAGCAATTTAAATGGAGTCCAAGAGAAATGGGATTATTTAAAAGTTGCACTATTGAAGGCAACAGAAAATTGCATTAGGCTTGTCAGTAAAAGCAAAAAATTCAAGAAACCACTGTGGTACTCCGCAGATGTGGCCAAAATAGTTAAAAACAAAAAGTTAGCATTTAGGAATTATAAAAAAACCCAGAGTGAGGAAGACAAAATGATCTATAAGATTAGGCAGAAAGAGGCTAAGCAAGTTATAAGAGCTTCCAAATCACACACAGAAGAGAAAATAGCACAGTCAGTAAAAAAGGGGGATAAAACATTTTTTAGATACATAAATGAGAAAAGAAAAGTAAAACAAGGATTAGTTAGATTAAAAACAAAAGAAGGAAGGTATGTAGAAGAGGATAAAGGTCAGGCTGACTGCCTCAATGAATATTTTTGTTCTGTATTTACAGAAGAAAATGAAGGAAAGGGACCTCAGTTGAGAAAAAGGATAAATGAGTCATTTATTACACGTGAGTTTACAGAGGAAGAGGTTCTATTTCAACTGTCAAAAGTAAAGACAAATAAGTCAATGGGACCTGATGGAATACACCCAAAGCTATTAAAAGAGCTTAGTGGTGTACTAGCAAAACCATTAACAGATTTATTTAACCAATCATTGTTAACAGGAGTAGTCCCAGAAGATTGGAAGTTAGCGAATGTTGTGCCCATTTACAAGAAAGGTAATAGGGAGGAGTCGGGCAACTATAGGCCAGTAAGCCTTACTTCAGTAGTGGGGAAAGTGATGGAAACCATGTTAAAGGATAGGATTGTTGAACATCTAAAAACACATGGATTTCAAGATCAGAGACAACATGGGTTTACTTCAGGGAGATCATGCCAAACTAATCTTATTGATTTTTTTGATTGGGTAACTAAAATTATAGATCAGGGTGGTGCAGTAGACATTGCTTACCTAGATTTCAGTAAGGCTTTTGACACTGTTGCACATAGAAGGCTTATCAATAAACTGCAATCTTTAAGTTTGGATTCCAATATTGTTGAATGGGTAAGGCAGTGGCTGAGTGACAGGCAACAGAGGGTTGTAGTTAATGGAATATATTCGAAGCTTGGACTTGTCACCAGTGGGGTACCTCAGGGATCTGTACTTGGACCCATTCTCTTTAATATTTTATTAGTGATATTGCAGAAGGTCTTGATGGTAAGGTATGTCTTTTTGCTGATGATACTAAGATATGTAACAGGGTTGATGTTCCAGGAGGGATAAGCCAAATGGCAAATGATTTAGGTAAACTAGAAAAATGGTCAGAATTGTGGCAACTGACATTTAATGTGGATAAGTGCAAGATAATGCATCTTGGACGTAAAAACCCAAGGGCAGAGTACAGAATATTTGATAGAGTCCTAACCTCAACATCTGAGGAAAGGGATTTAGGGGTGATTATTTCTGATGACTTAAAGGTAGGCAGACAATGTAATAGAGCAGCAGGAAATGCTAGCAGAATGCTTGGTTGTATAGGGAGAGGTATTAGCAGTAGAAAGAGGGAAGTGCTCATGCCATTGTACAGAACACTGGTGAGACCTCACTTGGAGTATTGTACACAGTACTGGAGACCGTATCTTCAGAAGGATATTGATACCTTAGAGAGGGTTCAGAGAAGGGCTACTAAACTGGTTCATGGATTGCGGGATAAAACTTACCAGGAAAGGTTAAAGGATCTTAACATGTATAGCTTGGAGGAAAGACGAGACAGGGGGGATATGATAGAAACATTTAAATATATAAAGGGAATCAACACAGTAAAGGAGGAGACTATATTTAAAAGAAGAAAAACTACCACAACAAGAGGACATAGTCTTAAATTAGAGGGACAAAGGTTTAAAAATAATATCAGGAAGTATTACTTTACTGAGAGGGTAGTGGATGCATGGAATAGCCTTCCAGCTGAAGTGGTAGAGGTTAACACAGTAAAGGAGTTTAAGCATGCATGGGATAGGCATAAGGCTATCCTAACTATAAGATAAGGCTAGGGACTAATGAAAGTTTTTAGAAAATTGGGCAGACTAGATGGGCCGAATGGTTCTTATCTGCCGTCACATTCTATGTTTCTATGTTTCTAATTCAGTTGCATCACTGCCACTCCCATATACTGCGACAGGCAGGTACATCTGTGGCTAAGCTAGCTCCCATCTTTCTGGGGTTTTGGATCTGGCAAGTTCAAGTCCTGGAGAAAGGATGCCTGGTCTCCAGATGAGGACAAAGACAGTGTGGTTCCCCCTGCGGAACAATCAAGGAGCCATCCTCCCCCCCACTGATATTTGACCACTGAGTCTCAGTTGTCTAGCGGTTGGGGCTAATTTCCTTCTTTTTAAGCAGGACAGCAAACGTATGTCACTGTAGATCCCCACCTCAATGCCTAGCTGCCATGCTGGATACATCTTTGGTGACTACTATTGTGTCTCTGGGTGCTTCAGGTGGGGCAGTAGCAGCTTTGCGGACTCTGAATACTGAGAGTGGTGTTGCATGTTTGGCTTTACGTTTAAGGCCCATGGAGGTTAGCAGTCTCTGTATGAAGGGCAGCAAGTTGTCTCCACTGATTGTCTCAAGAATGCCTCTAATGCGGACATATTTCATCCTGTGCCTGGATTCCAGTGTGTACACGGTCCTACTGAGCTTCTGAACCTGCTGGGATAGGGTGTCCACTTGGCTCTGGGTGTTTAGGATCTGACTCTCTCTGGATATTTCTCTGGTCCCCACCTCCTTAATTTGCTGGTGGAGTACCCCCATCTCCGTTTGAGTCTCCTGAAGGTATGACTTCCAGACCTTCCGCAGGTCTATCAGGAGGTGCATCAGAGTCACCTTTTATTAGGCTCAGTCCTATCCCAGTCGTTTGTCTAGGATTCCCTGTTGCCTTTGTTTGGTAAGTACAATAGAGGACATCTCACCTATGTGACTATTAGGCTGTGCATTCCCTGGTCCCTATGCCCTCGTGGTTTGTGGGTATCCTTGTTGCGACATGTCTGCCCTTCAGGGTCAGGCAATGGTTCAGCTTTGTATACAGGCACCCTGCTACTTGCTCTATGGTGCCAGTGGGATGGGGCCCCTACCCCACCATCCCCTCTGTTCTTTGGAGCATGAGCATGGGGTGGACAATCCCATCCACCCTCCTGTGTCTAAAGGTAGTTCTCAGATTCCTCCCATAACTCCCAGACCTTTCTGAAGGTGCTGGTCGTGTGTCTGACCTGTGCTGTTAACTTATTCATTATGTAATTATCCCTGAGTTTCGTGATTACCAAGGATATCAGAAGTAACTCGACATTTGTCCAGTTTTGTGCCAGTGCCCTATGTGCCGCCAGGTGAATCATATCAAGTAATTTTTGTTCATATTTGCCCAGTTCTTCTAAGGGTTTGGAGAGCAAGCATCCCCATGGGTTCCGTGTTCGCTTTCTTTGCAAGATTTAGGAGCTTAAGTCTACTACTTGTGCCCAGAAGTCCGCTACTCATGGGCATTGCCACCACATATGTATATTGCTACCTTTTCCCCCACATAGTGTCAGCACTTGTCAGTGGGGCCTAATTTCATATGACATTGCTTAACTGGTGTCGTGTATCACCGGAAAGGAACACAAATGTGATTTTAAAGTTCTAAAAGCGCCCCTTACCTCCGGTGAGAAAGGTGATTTATTCACCTTTTTCCATTGTCACGCGGGTCTCCCCATGTCTTGCCCAGCTCCCTGGTGACTACAGTGTCTCTTTAAAAGAGAAAGTCTTGACAGGAATACTATATACAAAGGTTAATTCTTCCTGAGGGGATCAGTGAATGAACATTGAAATATTAAAGCCAAGTTCAGTGTTTAAATATTTTTCTGGTGGAAACATTTCCTGATATATTCTTGTGCAAAAAATATTTCCTGACATATTCTTGGGCAATAAATAACCTTTAAAAGTAAAAATAAGGGGGCGGAGCTTGACTGCGCTAGAAGATGGCTCTCTCTCCCCCGTGATTAAAATCCGCTACCATCCACTACCCAGAGCACCACACATCCGCACACAAGGCATACCAGCCTCGCCAGGACTGGGCACTACCTCTCCCATGGGCGGAGGGAAAAGGAAAACAGAGAAAACTCCTTCTGTGGCCACACTGTTTCGCCCGCAAAGTGCGCCAAAACCGCCATCTTGCCGTCCTGACATGGAGGGCTCCGGCGCAGAGGCAGCGAACTCTGGACGCCAAGCGGCCGCGGACGCCCCCTCACAAAGAGGGACCTGCGAAACCTATTACAAGAGGTCACTGCAGAAATCAAAGCACACATGGAGGCAGAACTGAACCGCCACATCCAGACACTAAAAAGTGACATGGAGGCCCTTACACACCACACGGACCAAGCAGAGACCAAACTCATCGCTCTATCAGAAATAACCTCCTCCCACTCACAAGACATCACTTACCTGCACAGCAAAATTGCAGCACTGGAAGAGGGGATAGAAGACCTAAACAACAGGTCCAGGAGAAATAATATCAGAGTGAGGGGGCTACCGGAAATAGTAACCAGTTACCAAATACAGGCCACCCTCACTGACCTGTTCAAAAGAATACTGCCAGAGGCCTCAGCACAAGACCTCATGATGGACAGAGCCCACAGTGCACTCTGTCCTTTGGTGCTGAATCAGGACACCCCCAGGGATGTAATAGTCCATATGCATCGCTTCCCGATCAAAGAGCAGCCGGTCCAGAGGGTGCGACAAAATCCTCCAACCTTCGAGCAACGCAATATAGCTCTTTTCCAAGACCTAGCACCCACGACCCTTAAGAAATGAAGGGACCTCCGGCAACTAACGAATACCCTCAACCACCATGGCATAAGGTATATGTGGGGACACCCCTTCAAATTGGTGGTACGCAGGGAAGACCAGCCGCACATACTGTCCAATGCTGCTGAGATGGACTCCCTAGGCCTCACGCTTCTCCCCCTGCAACCAAGTATGCCAGTGCACCCAAGAGGAGGCTCATGGAGGCACCAAGAGTCCACCAGCCACTCACCCCGACGCACGCCATGAAAGAGAGCACCCCAGAGGTCTCAAGATGGCAGCCCACACCGGCTCTAACCCCCAGGACTTCTATAAAACCAATAAGCACTCTGGCTAGTGCTAATATCCCTTTCTCTTGAATTCTATTTATTTATTTCTATGCTTCTTTAATGTCTCTGTTTAATAATGTTGAATTCATGGGGATCACTGAAACGGTGGAGGAGGAACTACTGACAAAACATTCTTCACATGTACCTGCCGGGAGGGGAGGGCGGGAAAGGAGAAAGGAGGGCTAGGAGGGTTGTAAGGGGAAATATCGAAAAATGCCTACAGAGCATACCTACAGAGCATGACCTCTAAAAACCCAGGTGCACCAAACCCCAAGATTGACACTGGCAGGTAACACCAAGACGATCACCTGGGACCTCTAGTTAGGTAACGGCCCCACCCCCAACAAGCCAATACACCCGACCGGGAGAACCCACGGGCTAACACAGCTCGACCCGGACACTGACCGCTTTCCCCCCCAATGGGAACCCTCCTCTACAGACAGAGAACAGCGACAGAAGAACACTAGATGACACCTGCTAGGATAAGGGACCCCTTCCTCCCTTTGAGAGAGTCTCTGCACACCACTAACAGTGAACAATGTTCTTTCTTTTTCCCTTGTACATAGTTAACGTCACTCCCAGACCGGGACCCCACAAGACTGAAAGACTGAAATCAAGTTACAACAAAAAAGCTCCAGGTACACAAGGTAACACACCACGGGGGAGAGGGGAAGCGGATGTGAGTATCCCTCCTCTTCTCTTCTCACCCCTCACACACCACACTTGAACCACCCCACACACGGGTGCCTCTACCCACTCCCACAACTCCTACACCCCCTGCCCCCCGCCCGCCAGGCTTGGCAGGAACTTAGTAAACCAAGCCATCTCAGATAAAACCCATCAACCCCTCCCCACCCGGCCCGACCCTAGAGCCATGCCACAGGCCCCCTTTGGACCCCACCCCGCACGCCAGGCAGAAGCGTAACTACAATGTAATGCCAACTGCCAAACTAAAATGTATCTCGATTAATTGCAAGGGCTTGAACAATCCGAACAAGAGGCACAGAGTCCTCAGATGGGCTACCAGATCCCGGGCAGACGTTCTCCTCCTCCAGGAGACACACTTTGAGAAGCACAGGTCCTTCCCACTACGTAACCGACACTATGTAGAAAGCTACCAGGCACACTCACCTCAAGGCAAACAAGGCAGAGTAGCCATCCTCATTCGCAAAACCTGACCTATACAATTTATTAATGCAGCCTCAGACCTGCAGGGATGGTTCCTCACCATAACAGGAAACCTAGGCCCGATCAAATACGTAATAACATCGGTCTACGCTCCAACGGTCCCGAATGCGCAATTCTGGACGCCTTACAGGCCCATTTGAGCTTGTTCCCCTCCCACCACAAGTTGGTGGGAGGGGACCTCAACGCGGTGCCATCCCTGTCCCATGACAGACGCAGGATGCAACAAGGGGGACAGCAACCCCCACCCGAGGCAAAAACAGACAAACTATTACACACCTTCTTGACAAATACAAATCTAGTGGACGTATGGAGAACCAAACACCCCCTGACAACGGACTTCACATTCTTCTCCCACCCACACACGTCCTACTCACACATTGACATGTTCCTGACCTCCCCATCCCTACTACAACATGTAGACGATACGGAGATAGGACAAATCACGTAGTCGGACCACGCAGACATCTCCATAACTATAACGCTCCCAAATACCAACAGGCAATGGTCTTGGCGCCTGAACCCAACACTTCTCCATGTTCCACACATTAAAATTTCAATTAAAGAAGTCATACAAGACTTCTTTACAACCAACAAAGGCTCGGTGCCCTCAGAGGATACCCTCTGTTCAGCACATAAGGTAGTAATCAGAGGCAGCCTCATCTCAGCAGTGACAGCCCATAAAGAACAAAAACTAGCCCAACTAAACCACCACCTAACCGAACTCCGCAAAGCGGAACACACACATAAACAAAACCCCACCCCTGACCTACAACGACAGATACAGGAGCACAAACAGGCCATCCACAAATTCATGGCCCAAGACTCCAAAAAAGCACTACTATAGACGAGACAGATGTTTGAACAAGGCGTATTCTCTTCTGGCCCACAGACTTAAAAAAAAAAAAAAAGGCAACACAAATGTCTAACACAAGACCTACCAGAACAAATAGCAAAGACCTTCACCCAATTCTACACATCCCTTTACGACAATGACCCCCTCTCCCGACATAATGTACACGCCATGGAGGAGGCCATCACAAAATATTTGTAAAACATACCTCTACCGCAACTTACGAATGAGGCTAGAGAATCGCTTGCAGCAGACATCACTAAAGAAGAGGTGGCTGAGACAATCAAATCTCTCCAACCTAACAAATGCCCGAGCCCAGACGGCTACTCGGGATTACACTACAAAATGTACTCAGCTATCCTACTCCCACACCTCAGAGACCTATTCACATCAATCCTCAAAGGAGAACTGCTACCACCAGACATGCTCCAGGCAAACATTAGCCTAATACCAAAGCCGAACAAATCCCTCCAAGACCCGGGACATTGTTGCCCCATTTCACTACTCAATGTGGACTATAAACTGTTCACCAAACTCATTGCGAACAGACTTAAACATTTTCTCTCAAAGCTGATCAACCCAGATCAGGTAGGCTTTATACCCAACAGACAAGCCTATGACAATTCGAGACGCACTTATGACCTAATATGGGCAGCAACACACAGACGGATCCCAACACTACTACTATCCCTAGAAGCCGAAAAGACATTTGACCGGATACTTTGGCCATACTTATTCGCAACCTTGACGAAATTTGGCTTCCCCAGATCCCTAGTGCAGGCAATTCCTAGCCTCTACTCCACCTCAACAGCACGACTACTAATACCCAATGCTCTCCAGACCCCATTTCAGATATACAATGGCACCAGACAGGGAGGCAATGGCACCCTATCCCCCCTCCACTTCGCCCTCTCCCTCGAGCCCCTATTACAAAAAATTTGTAATGACCCAGACATCAAAGGCATAAAAATACGACTGGAAGAATATAAGGTGGCGGCATATGCGGACGACCTACTCATGACCTTGACCGAACCTGAGACATCACCACCCCCCCATTAGACCTTCTAGACAAATATGCAAAACTTTCAGGTTATAAACTAAACATGGAGAAAACAGAGGCCCTGACACTACAGATCCCACCCCCCTACGAGCACATCTACAACACAAGTACCCATTCCGCTTCCTAACAACTAGTATCCCCTATTTAGGAATCAACCTACCCGCGGACCTACAATCCACGTACCGACTAAACTATCCCCCATTACTAGACCAGGCCAAAAGAGACCTGCAGACCTGGCAAAAACTATCCATCTCTTGGCTGGGGAAACTGGCAGCGATTAAAATGAACTTACTCCTACGGTTCCTGTATTTGTTCCAAACCCTCCCCATACCACTCTCTAGAGCAGACTTTAAAACCCTCCAAATGCATGTAGATCAATTCATCTGGGCTGGAAAAAGAGCCAGAGTCAACGAATTACCCTATACATCCCACACAAAAAAAGAGGGCTAGGCCTGCCGAACTTCTTGGACTACCACCAAGCATCCCAACTAGCGCAAATCTAAACCATACATGCCCCTCCAGGAGTAAAAAGGTGGGCAGACCTAGAGCATGACCTATTCGGTCGAGATTTCCCTACACTATATTTGTGGCTACCGAAGCAGCACAGACCACAGACACCAATCACGACACCAGCCCTGACGACAGCCATCCATGACACCCTAACACTTTGCCCGGTACGAAGACAACAAACTCACTAGAATCTGCCACTTCTCCCATTCCCAGACCTACCACTCGACACGCCATACAACACGATCGATCACTTCCGCTACCTCCAGCTCTGCAGCTTCCTGTCCACCCCTGACATCGCCGGAGCGGCAGTGGCAAGGGCCAAATATCTAGCCTATACAACACCATGACACTTAAAACCCCACCTGAAACCTTCTCCTATGTGAGGGCCTGGGAAAGAGATCTGGGCCCCCCAGGGGAATCATCAGATTGGGCCAACATCTGGGAGGCCACGCAACAGTAACCATATGCATTAACCACAAGGAGCAGGCCTACAAAACTCTGCTCCGGTGGTACCTCACCCCCTTGAGACTCAAACAAATGAAACGCACAGACTCTGACAGATGCTGGAAAGGATGCGTCGAGAAAGGGACATACGTCCATATGTGGTGGGAATGCAGACATATAACCCAACTATGGAAAGAAATGGCCACTATCACTTCAAGAGCATTTCAAACTGAAACCCTCCTAGACCCGTGGATTTGGCTACTGTCGAAACCCCACGAAAACCTGATCCGAGCACAAAACAAGCTGGTAGCAAAGGTGGCCCTGGCAACATGTAGAACAATAGCAACCCACTGGGAAAGCCCAGAGATTCCGGCAACCCCAGAGGTCCGTAAAAAGATTGGGGAGGCCATAGAAATGAATGAACTGTCCGCACTGATACACGAAAATACCAGTTCCTTCCACAAGATTTGGAAGCCATGAATGGCAGTGTAGCTTGGCGGGCGATGGCGGGTCATGTGGGATGGGGGGAGACTAGCAGGACCCCCTCCCCCTCACATCCCACACCCTCCCAATACCCACACGGTTACCCTATATCACCCAAACACCTCTATTACCCGAGGTCACCCACATACGCCGGAGAGGCACACAAACACCAACTGACCCATGCACACAACACACTCAGGATAAAACCAAAAACTACATAGCGACCAGCAGAAAATTGAGAAACCCCCACTTATGAACTATGACTTATGACTATGCCCTCCCTACACCCAACACCTTCCCCTAGCTCCAAGTTCTATACCTCCTACCCCCGCAGTAACGACACAAACCTCACTGACAAAGACTCTACAACTAGAAGCAACGAACTAGACCAAGCACACTCAAGAACTTAAAAACATGGCTTCACGCACCATCAAGCCTAAAGACTCACAAAACAGAAACAAGGCTATGCAACTCAAAAAAAAAAGAAGGGAACTTGAGACATGAGACGTCTATAGATATGTTACTCAGGGGGGCTAATCTATACCCTTTTAGTAACCTGTTCTTTCTAACCCTGAAAAACAGACGAAAAACAGCAACTTAAGATTGTTAAACGAAATAACAACACAACGTTAGAAAATGTAATCGTAACAGTGAACTGCCTGAAAATGTACCCCCCTTTGTATAACACTTTGTATAACACATTGTTACCCTTTCTTTTTTCTGTTACCCCCACAACTGAAAAACTTATAAAAATTCTAAAATAAAGAATTTACAAAACAAAAAGTAAAAATAAAATAATGAACACTAGTAATTCTAAATAGATCTTTTGATTTTGTACACAGCTGATTAAATATGTATTGTTTTCTTTGAACTACAGATATTTTGAAAAGCGTGAAAATGTTGCGCTTGCTTATATTCCTGAGCATCTTCATATGTAAGTAATTTCATATATTATTACAAATGGAATTTCAATGATTTTATGGTTTTTTAATTTTAAAGGTGTTTAATTTCATATTGGTTACATAGTTACATAGCTGAAAAGAGACTTGTGTCCATCAAGTTCAGCCTTCCTCACATATGTTGTTGCTGTTGATCCAAAAGAAGGCAAAAAACCTAGTCTGAAGCGCATCCAATTTTGCCACAAACTAGGAAAAAATTCCTTCTTGACCCCAAAATAGCAGTCAGATGTCTCCTTGGATCAAGCAGCTATTACCCCACTAATTAGAAATTATATCCCTGTTATGTTTTTGTGAGCATTTATCCAATTGCAGTTTAAACCTCTGTAGTGACTCTGACAGAACCACCTCTTCAGGCAGAGAATTCCATATCCTTATTGCTCTTACTGTAAAAAAACCTTTTCTTTGCCTTAGATGAAATCTCCTTTCTTCCAACCTCGTGTCCTATGTATAGCCCTGTTTATGAATAGATTTCCAGATAAAGGTTTGTACTGGCCCCGAATATATTTGTATAAAGTTAGCATATCCCCTCTCAGGCGCCGTTTTTCCAAACTAAACAAATTTAATTTTTTTTACTTTTCTTCATAACTAAAATGCTCCATTCCTTTTATCAATTTTGTAGCTCGTCTCTGGACTTTTTCTAGTACCATGATATCTTTCTTTAGAACAGGCGCCCAAAATTGCACGGCATATTCAAGGTGTGGTCTTACCGGCGATTTATAAAGAGGCAAAATTATATTTTCATCCCGAGAATTTATGCCCCTGTTTATACATGACAAAACCTTACTGGCGTTAGCAACTGCAGATTGACATTGCATATTGCTGCCTAATTTGTTGTCTATAACAATTCCCAAATCCTTCTCGTGTGTGGTTGTCCCTAGTTCACTACCATTTTTAACACCCTGGATACACATACAGAGCTATCACACAGTCAAAACAACAAATGTGTGTTGCACGGCTAGCATAAACATGCACATATACCGAACCTATAAAGAAAAATTACAAAACATATACATACTAAATAATACAATTTGCCGTCTCCTAGAACGGTCAGTTTAGTTAGATATAATGAAATCAGTAAGAGTAACATTTTGTTCACATTTCGAATTTAACTGCACTAATTACTGTAAATGTAATATTAACATTGGCCAATCACGTGTTATAATTTCACATCATAATCGCATTATTTTCTACTGATGTTAACATATGTTTTTAATAACTGGGTATCAAATGCCGTAATGCCATGTATGATACTGAAACACGCACCCTCTGAGTACTACAAAGCCGTGATTGATCATCCACTCCATATCCCGTGACAAGGATTGTATTGTCAAATACTAACATCTGAGAGCTAAAGTATAGCTCCATTTTTGTGAGTGTATGTTCAAACATCTTTCATTTTCTCCTTTAATGCATACAATATTACACTATCTTGTGTTTCCTGTTTTTTTATTTCCTATTATGGAACTGATTTGGATTCCTAGCCGAATTTACTTACCTTACGAAGAACCCTTGCTGCTCAACCTCAATAGACTTTGGGACTCTTGGTATTTGTATTAGATGTGATATTAATTTTGCAACATTTTATCAAGTACTACCCTCACTGTATTTGTTGCAACCTGTTTCTCTTTTTCTTTTTACTTGTACAGTATTTTGTTTGTTAGGGTACCCAAGTTTCAGTGTTTGCTGCCCATCAGAGTCAGCGCTGTATCTATCCCCCCTATTGTTTGATGATACTGAAATAGCCTCTACTGACACAAAACAATGTACTTCCTCGGTCAAACTGATGCCCCCTACCTGCCAAAACTCTACTTCCTAATGCAACACACACACACAAAGCACCTACCACACAGATTGATGCATAGAGATTACCCCCACCCCATCCTTATATTTCCTAGTGAGTTTTTTCCATACAGAAAAAGATGGGAATTTAATTTAAATAATAGCCAGAGGACAGGGTAAGAACGTGATTACTTGTTCCGTTGGAAAAACAATTACATCACATTAGACTTGACACAATTTAACTTGTCAACTTTATACGTAAACGAAAATGTTGACTCTGTTAACTTTACTTACTAATTATAGTCCCAAAACTTTATGTTAAGAATGTTATTGTGTTTTAGGCTTCATAATGGCGTTTCCAATTTACCATACTGTAAAGAAAAGGGAAATCGAGGAAGAGGATACAGTATCTGGAATAGGAACTGTAATTGCGTTCTTTCACCCAACAAGTGAGTAGTATTACAGCTGATTTTACTAAGTTCAGATAATGTGTTAAATAGTTATTAATTTAAAAAAATGTACAAACATAGTTAACTGTTTTAAAAACTTTGGCTTTCTTATCTAATAATCCAAAGCTCACATAGATCCTATTCCAGAATTATTGTCTTTTTTTAAATTTACATAATAACAAAAAAATCCAGATTCCATGAATGAAACATAACCAGCTCATTTAATTAGACAACCTCACATACTATAGGTGGAACAGTCAGGAGCAGAGAAGTAAACATTGTTTAAATAAAGATAGTTTTGAGAGGCAAATTAAAAATATATATATATATCATTTTTATGAATGGACACAAAGTCATGCTCATTGACACACACACATACACACTGGTAGTGCCAGTTTCACGTTTACTTGAAGCATATATGCATTTATTCACTAAAACGAGATTTAAAGGTCAAAGTATCCAAACTGGAAGCATAACTGATTTCGAGATTTTTTTTCCATTTCAGCAATGTTGGCCTTAAGTTTAAAATTCACTTTGATTTCTTATTTCAGTGAATAACCCTGATAATGACACAGATATGTATGTTATCTCAACGCAGACTTGCATTTCAGCTAATCTGAATACTAAGCCGCCCAACCATTCACTGGAGCCTTGAACATTTGGTGTGAGTTAACCTTTGGGATGACCATGAGCCCAGCTCCCCATCTAGCATCTTGAGTCCATGTGTCTGCAAGAGTTAACTGTTCTGCCAGAAACTAACATTTATTTTTCAGGCGCTGCACTGGCGTACCCAGGGTTAACCCCTTGCTCTCCACTGCTGTCTCTGCAAATCATCAGGAAGGAAGAGAAGATGAAATAATCCTGTTAAAAATCAAAGCTCTATACTAATCCCACTGCCATTTTTAAAGGCTGACATGCACATTATTTCAGTTTAAACATACATTTTTTAAATTTGTTTTTAAGAATGCAATCATTTCTCACCGCAAACAACTATGGTTAGCAGAATCAATCAAATGTGGTAGAAGTGAACAGTTACATTAATTGTTGAACATTTGTTCTAGCTATGGGTTCCTTTAAGCCATATATTGAAATGTTACTTTAGAGTTAGTGATGTCCTGAACGGTTCGCCGAAACGGTTCGCCACGAACGGTTCGCCGCGGACTCATCATTGAGTAAACTTTGACCCTGTACCTCACAGTCAGCAGACACATTCCAGCCAATCAGCAGCAAACCCTCCCTCCCAGACCCTCCCACCTCCTGGACAGCATCCATTTTGAAGCTGCATTCTTAGTGAGCTGTCCAGGAGGTGGGAGGGTCTGGAAAGGAAGGGTCTGCTGCTGATTGGCTGGAATGTGTCTGCTGACTGTGAGGTACAGGGTCAAAGTTTACTCAATGATGAGTCCGTGGCGAACAGTTCGTGGCGAACCGTTCACGAACCGTTCGGCAAACCGTTCGGGACATCACTATTTAGAGTACATAATTTATAATATAATGATGCGATTCTAAATTCTCTTTTATTGTAATCCCAACAGCATGCAGCCTGAGGGGCAAAACTAAAGAGGCGTGCAAAAAGGGCATAGAAGAAAATTCAACCATTTGCGCTATGATCAACTGTTGCCCTTCGAACAGAGGCATTGTCTGCTTCGAGCCTGTGTACGACAGTACGTATTAATATATACATGGCAAATTTCATGGAACTTAAATAGTTTTAGAAACATTGCACAGTGAAGGGAAAAGAATCCTCAACAATCAGGACCAATACAAACCATTGTGTGGAAATCTATTCACAAACCGGACTTTACATAGGACACGAGGCCATGCGTTTAGACTGGAAGAAAGAAGATTTTATCTAAGGCAAAGGAAAGGTTTTTTTACTGTAAGAACAACAAGGATGTGGAATTCTCTGCCTGAAGAAGTGGTTTTATCAGAGTCCATACAGATTTTCAAACAGCTACTAGATGCATACTTGCAAAAACAGAATATTCAAGGATATACTCTTTCAGTGTAGGGTAATAACTGCTTGATCCAAGGATAAATCTGACTGCTATTCTGGGGTCATGAAGGAATTTTTTTCCTAGCTTGCTGCAAAATTGGAAGTGCTTCAAACTGTTTTTTTTTTGCCTTCTTTTGGATCAACAGCAAAAAACAAATGTGAGGAAGGCTGAACTTGATGGACACAAGTCTCTTTTCAGCTATGTAACTATGTAACTATGTAGCTTTCAGTTACAAGTGCAATTATTTATGTAGCGCCAACATATTTTGCAGCGCCGTACAATAGGTAACATTGTACAACAATCGGACAACAATCAACAATCGGACAGTACCTCTCAACAATCAGTTTTCCTTTTGGTGTCTTGGAAAAATGGGTAATTCGAGGAAAAAAAAATGAAATTAAGTTGCACTATCTTTGCATAACAACTCAATTACTGCTATGTTGTTAAATACTTTGTTATATTCTGCTAATGTATATGATGTGCAAGGAAATATTGCCAATTCGAAAGCCATTGTAGGAGCAGTTTGTCAATGGAAATTGCGTGGATCTTTGCTATATTTCATATACCTTACAGCAGGTGTGCCCAAAACGTAGATCCCCAGATGTTGTAGAATTACAACTCCCATGATGCCTCTAGAATGCCAAAGCATCATGGGAGTAGTAGTTTATACCTTTGTGAAATATTATGGACTTCACCTCTGAGCTAATCTACACAATCTTCAAGCTATTTCTAGTTGTACAACACCAATTCATGATCACTTTGGGTCAATTAGGACATGTCTTCAATGTTAGGATGTTATGTTACAGTGCTTCCTGTCCATTTAACCAAAAATTTAAAATTGTAGGTGAATTGCAAAAATGTATGTATAGCAGATGATGCTGAGAAAAACAATCCATTTTGTCCGCTTACTAAATACTATCTAGTACAGGGCTGTCCAAACTGCGGCCCCCCAGATGTGGCTGAACTACAACTCCCATGATTCCCTGGCTATCTGTTTCCTTGAAAGAATCATGGGAGTTGTAGTTCAGCAACATCTGGGGGGCCACAGGTTGGACAGGCCTGATCTAGTAGGTAATTTGATCATTGTGCCCAACTTTGCGTATTCCATCTCATAACGTTTGGATGAGTTAGAGAAAGTTTTATGAGAATTGGAGCAGTTCTGCTCTTTACAAACAACAAACACCTGTCCTCTGTCCAATGATAAAAAGAACAGATATCTGATGCAACGTAAACTACAGCTGAACTAAATAAAGCAGAAATACGAGATATGAGAGCCCCAAATGACTAACCAGCAGTGGTGACTCTAGGAACAACATAAAGGGGGGCACATAAGGAACCACAGGGAAACCGGGGGGAGGGCACTAATATTTTCCACTGGGGGGGCAGGGTAACGTCCTGCCATTGGCTATCAGGAGTCAACATGCTGTATGCTGGCGTCAGGTACAGAATTCACATTAGCCACCTGGAAATCTATATAGATCTCTTAATTTTGATCTTTTAGGTCTTTAGTAGATAACTCTCTTGTTAGCTATCCTTATGTGGGATTGCCATATTTAAAGATACCAAAATAGGGAGCTAATAAACACAAACACATTCTCATGCACACACAAACACACAATCACAAACGCTCACACGATCACAGACATACACACATACAATCACAGACATACACACACGTAATCATACACACACACACAATCACAGACATACACACATACAATCACAGACATACACACACATAATACACATACAATCACAGACATACACACACGCATAATCATACACATACACACACACAAACACACACAATCAATCACAGACATACACAATCACAGACATGGAAAAATAAGCAAAGAAAATGAAGAGGAAACATATATTCTGCATGATCTGTTTGTTATGCAACATTTTTCATATAGACTTTTAATGACTTAATCTATATATCGTTTGCATCGCTTACAGGTGCTATGTTCATGCTCCGTATATCCGGCACGATAGTGGTTTCAATGATTTTAATGGTCGCCCTCGTTCTTATCTGCTGCTTCTTTATCAAATTCACGTAAGTCAATGCTTTACATTTACTTGCTGCACAGCAATCAACTCAATAGCAAGCTTTACACGAGTGGTTTACAGGCATTTAAATATGAACACATTTTCAAGGAACAGAAATCATCACTTTAATGGCCTATAAAACTAATCATTCAAACTGATTAGTCATCATGCCCTATCTGCAAGATCCTACCTGTGATCCTGTTAACCGTGGCACACTGAAAACCCCATGTGCAACATTTAAGTTAAAATTGTTGTGTTTTTGCAGTATAGCGAGTGAGGATAAAGTTGGCAGTTTGATTTTCAGTTTTATTTATTGAGTAAAATGGAAAATACTTTAGATGTTATATAACTGAATGCTTACTTATGTATTGTGTTCTATTGCAGTCCATTTTACAGGTGTTTCACTGGTGAACCAGATAGAGTAAAAAAAGCCAAGAGAAAGAAAAGAGAGAGGCTTGATATCGGGAATTCTATGTTAGATATGATCCAAAGTGACGCAGATGCAGGAAATGAGGAGTCAGAAGCTCTTCTTCAAATGCTGATTGCAGCCGTAGATAAATCAGATGTAGACAAAAGGTAAAAATCACACGCAAGAGAGTACGACACAGATGTTTATGGTGGATTTGGCGAGCATGCAAGAGCTCCATAGATCATGTCTCATGATGAGACATTCCAAGACATTCCAAGAGCATGACGGAATGAATCTTCATAAAATATCTTTTGGTAACACAACTGCTTTATTGAGGCTTGCACTAAGCAAGAGAGCAGAAACACAGGGGACAGAGCTGGCCAGTCAGGGGAGGGAATGGCGACTTTTGGCCGCAAGGTCAAGTACACATTTATATCATGTTTCTTAAAGATCTTTGAGTCAATAGTCATCTATCAGTCATGTATAGATTTGACAGACAGAGGCTGCTGGAGATGTGACCGTGTGACATCATATATATCCCCTTGTAACAGTGTGACCTGAACAACACGAAAGTGCATTCATAGAAGTTTGTATCGACCTAAGAAACACAGGCTCGGTTTCTCTCTGACTGCATGGCCACCAATCTCATTTAACCCTGTGATCACTTGAAATATTTCCAGGCACATTATCCATACTCTGTGTAGACCAGCAGCTTCAATCCAACAAACCTCCCACTATTTTTTTCATTTTCAGAATAATGGTTTGAGGCTGTAGCCTTTGCTATCACTCTCATGCTAGTGCAACAAGTGAATTTAACACTACCTAAACTTTAACACCACCTTTCTAAAAGCCCATGCCAAAAGACAAGCGTTGAAGTAGAACCAAAATGATAATGTTTAACTACTGCCTACTCTCTTACTCAAACTCAACTTAAAGTTTGAGCCACTGATGGGGGTATATTTAAAAAGAAATACCACAGTATGTATGTATCTATTTATATATTGATTTGATTTTGCAGGGCGCCTAAACCCGAATTGCCCCCAGAACTTAACGACATGTTAAAGAGGACACTGGCTGGAGGTAAAAGCAAGAGCCCAAAAGCATCCGGAAAAGTGGATTTCGATTGACCACCCTTTTAATGACAGTGCTTCATGCCCAAGAATCTACTGGGAACGCAACGATGAAAGGACATGGCAGGTGTACTAAACATGGCACCAAGAAATAACATCTTGCACAAGCTTCTTTTCAATCTTTATTTACAATTAACTTTGATTTTAATATAAAATTTTGTAACACCTTACACAATAGGAATTTGATTTATCTATTATTCTCTGTTTGACAGGTGTAAATGTATTCACTCTTAATACATCTTCCATATTAAACAGCATTTTCACCAGTGGTGTATCCTGGTTTTGTGCTGCCCTAGGCAGGACAAAACTCAGATGCCCTCCTCCCCTCGCGCCACCCTCACCCAAGCCTTCCCCCCGCCCCACCTTCTAAATACACACACACACACACAGTCAGACTCACACACACACAAACAGTCAGACACACACACAGTCAGACACACACACAGTCAGACACAGACACACACACAGTCAGACACACACACACAGACACAAACACACAGTCAGATACACACACACATAAAGTCAGACACAAACACACAGTCAGACACACACACACACACAGTCAGACACAAACACACATACACAGTCACACACACACACAGTCACACACATACACACACACACACACAGACACAAACACACACACAGACACACACACACAGTCAGACACAAACACACAGTCAGACACACACACACACAGTCAGACACAAACACACACACACAGTCACACACACACACACACAAACACAGCCAGACACAAACACACAATCAGACACACACACACACACACAGTGAGACACCCACACACACACAGTCAGACACAAACACACACACAGTCAGACACACACACACACAATCACTCACATTAACACTCTTTTTTTATCTTTTATTTATTTAACCCCCCCAGCCTCCTTACCTTTGGGAATGCTGGGCGGGAGGGGTTCCTCTCTCTCCCTGGGGGTCCAGTGGCTGCCAGTCGGGCGGCTTGAGAGGGAGCTCTTCTTCTCAGCGGTCTGCTCGGCTCCCTCGCACGTCGCAGAGTGAGGCTGGGAGCCGGGTCGATGACATCATATTCCGGCTCCCAGCCTCACTCTGCGGCGCACGAGGGAGCTGAGCAGACCGCTCAGAGGAAGAGCTCCCTCGCCAGCCACCCGCCTAGCACCGCCCACCCAGCCCAGCATGTCAGTTAGCCGCAAGGCTATCTAGGCATTTGCCCTGGGCATTTGGGGGTGGCGTTTTTTGCCGCCCCCAGAAAAATGCCGCCCAAGGCAAATGCCTTGTTTGCCTCGCGGCTAATACGTCCCTGATTTTCACAGCACATCAATTAATGCATAATTGTTTGAGCTCCATACAGGGCCGGTGCAAGAATTTTTAGGTATACATGTGTAGATGCATTTTGCCAACCCATCATCCCCTTCATCTATACAGAGGCGCCACTTACAAACACAAAGATTATTGCTTTGGCGCATTTTGATTCTCAATCATGCCACACAACACTGTGAGCTGTATTGCCTTGCACTGGGTTTTCCTCATTCACATTGATCCTGCCCTTTACATACAATAGAGTACATAGAATACTATAGTACAAGGAATGGTGGGGTCAGACACTAGCAAGGGCTGATGGGAGATTGAGGAGGGACATGGCAGCTAGTTTAAACAGGTCTGGCAGTGTCCCTGGGACAATGCCCTGCTGGGAAACAATGGGACAGGAAAAAGGGGGAAACATTGTATATTTCTGTGAAAATAAAAATGTTCTATTTTAATATTTAACTATTAGAACAAAAACAACAACGTAGGGGCAGAGAGACAAGCCAGTCTCACACATTTCATGTTTGCTTTTTTTCTGAACGGTTACTGCTCACCTACAAAAGACTTTTTCAAAACCTAAAAAGAAAAGGGAAGTGGTGGGTGAATAACAGAAAGTATAAACAATTAAAAGTTCCTGGAATTTCGTTTGAGGTGGATTATATATGTTACACTTGGTCTGATATTTTGATTGGTGCAAAAAAAGACTTTCTGGACATGTAATTATTTTAGTTCAGTTTTAAATAGTTCATTTCAAAATTATTTTTTAATTTGTTTTGTGTTCTGTCATTAATATCTTACATGATTTTTTTTTTTATTCTAGTTTTTTAACCCCTTAAGGACACATGACATGTGTGACATGTCATGATTCACTTTTATTCCAGAAGTTTGGTCCTTAAGGAGTTAAGGATCTAATTTATGTTTTTTTTTACTTGCATATCTTTGCTCATATCAGTGCATCTCATTTGACATATGTAGGCCGTGGGAGGACAAAAGCAGTTTGGTGAAATGTATTTTAAACAAATTCTCAAAAGACCTACTTCTAAAAAAAAAAAGAAGAAAATATCACATGAACATTTAGCCAAAGAAAAGCGTTTAAAGTAAGCTGGTAAATGAAAAGGTCAAGACAGTACCGAGAGATTTATAGTAGTACGTGAATTTAGATGAATTGCATTCAGAACTACACCATGGACATCTAGGACTGATATGAAGATAAAAAAATTAATAAATCCTCAAGTTGGCTATTTAGAATGAATAAGTTATACACTTATTATTCTAGAATGCAAATACTTTGAAATCATACAGTTTGCAAGAAACATTGATTGTAACCTAAGTATTCTAGAACTCTGCCTCAAAGTTGCCAGAAGCTGTACTGCTAGTTACTAGTGATGCACCGAACGGTTCGCTGGCGAACAGTTCCTGGCGAACATAGCGCGTTCGCGTCCGCCACGGACGGCAAACACATGTGCAGTTCGATCCGCCCCCTATTCGTCATCATTGAGTAAACTTTGACCCTGTACCCCACAGTCAGCAGACACATTCCAGCCAATTAGCAGCACACCCTCCCTAGCAGACCCTCCCACCTACTGGACAGCATCCATTTTAGATTCATTCTCAAGCTGCATGCTTAGTGAGAGGAGGGAAAGTATAGCTGCTGTTGATTAGATAGGGAAATGCATAGCTAGGTTAGGGTATACAGTGTTCACTACAGTCCTGAAGGACTCATCTGATCTCTGCTGTAAGGACAGCACCCCAAAAAGCCCTTTTTAGGGCTAGAACATCAGTCTGCTTTTTTTTTCTGTGTAATGTAATTGCAGTTAGTTGTCTGCCACTGCTGCCAGCTTCTGTGTCAGGCTCACAGTGGATACTGTGTCCATTTGCCCAGTCAGTGCCACCACTCATATCTGGTGTCACAATAGCTTGCATTTAAAAACAAAAAACTTTTTTCACTGTTATAGATTGAATAGCAATCAGTGTCCTTAAAGCGGGTGTGTCAGGCTCACAGTGGATACTGTGCCCAGTGCCACCACTCACTCACTGGTGTCACAATAGCTTGCATTTAAAAACAAAAACTTTTTTCACTGTTATAGATTGAATAGCAGTTAGTTGTCTGCCACTGCTGCCAGCTTCTGTGTCAGGCTCACAGTGGATACTGTGCCCATTTGCCCAGTCAGTGCCACCACTCATATCTGGTGTCACAATAGCTTGCATTTAAAAACAAAAAACTTTTTTCACTGTTATAGATTGAATAGCAGTCAGTGTCCTTAAAGCGGATGTGTCAGGCTCACAGTGGATACTGTGCCCAGTGCCACCACTCACTCACTGGTACCCGGAAGAAATTTCTTTTCACAAAAGGCAATCCCCAACCTGTACTCGATTGTGCAAACGGAAATAATGGCATGTGTGGCACACAGTGTTGGGGCAAGGGTCCATCTGACCACTGATACCTGGTCTGCAAAGCATGGTCAGGGCAGGTACATCACCTACACTGCGCATAGGGCAAACCTGCTGACGGCTGCCAAGCATGGAATGCGTGGCTCTGCAGAGGAGTTGGTGACACCGCCACGACTTGCAGGCAGGCCTGCTGCCACCTCCTCTACTCCTCCTACTCTATCCTCTTCCATAACCTCCTCGGCTGAGTCCTCTTCTGCTGCTGCATCTTGCTCCACATCAACGGATAGGGGACGTAACAGTGATTAAACTGATAAAAATAGTACTAAACACACCACTCCTATCTGGTGGCACATTAGATTGCACGCGCAGTGCCCCAAATTTGTTGTAAAATGTGTGTAAGGTAAACGGTTGTCCATACAAGTAGGTTGCAGCTTTTTGAGGGCCCACACCACCGCCATGCACTCTTTTTCAATGGCAGTGAATCTACTTCGCTGGGCAAATGTTTACGGCTTAAATAAGCCCCTGGTTGCTCGCCACCATCTGCTCCGACTTGGCTCAGTACTGCTCCCAATCCAAACATAGAAGCGTCTGTATGGACGAGAAAGTGTTTAGTTGGATCAGGAGCAGAAAGTACAGGTGATTTAATGAGCGCCGTCTTGAGCTGTTGGAAGGCCTGTTCACACTCTGGGGCCCATACTACTATCTTGGGAGGTTTTTACACGTTCCTATATGGCACTTACTGGGCTTTAGGGTCAGTCCGGACTCCCTAATCCGGTCTATTACGGCTCCTATGTGGGTCAGGTGTTAGGGCCAGGAGCAGCTAAAAATGTCTACCATCCAAGTAGGTGTGTATCAGTGTGTATCAGGGATCCTTAGGACAGGTGTCAATCCATATCTGCCAAGTGACCCTATGTAGGGGGAACAGTCTCTATTCTGCTCTTTGTCAGTGTGTATCAGGGATCCTTAGGATAGGTGTCAATCCATATCTGCCAAGTGACCCTATGTAGGGGAAACAGTCCCTATTCTGCTCTGTGTCCGTGTGCATCAGGGGCTCTGAGGACAGGTGTCAATCCATATGTCAAGGTATCAATATGTCATATGTCAGGTGTCAATCCATATTCATTGTGATTTAGGAATGTTAGGTGATTTCTGCCCTTTATGGATTAAAACCAGACTCTGTATCAACTGTGTAATTTTCCATGGGATTTTTGCCATGGATCCCCCTCCGGCATGCCACAGTCCAGGTGTTAGTCCCCTTGAAACAACTTTTCCATCCCTATTGTGGCCAGAAAGAGTCC